ATATTTTAGAAACCTTCACACTCATTCCTCGAATACCATCGTAACCCTTTGAAAACCATTTCTGGCAATCATAATAATTTTAACATGCGATTTTCTATAATAGAATGAAACCATAAAAACCTTCGCGCTTATTCCAAAAAAACATTCTTCACCTTCAAATGAAGCTTTTATACCTTACCTTTTGTATAATATTATCAGGTACCTATATAGCACCCGCTTTCTACATTTGACAAACAACTAAATTTTAACAATGGAGCAAATGTTCCACACTCCTTCAGTGAATACCCACGAAAACCATTTTCTGTGATATTGTTTCATTATATCACAAAAAATGGTTTTTGCAGGTATTCATTGAAGAAGTGTGGAACATTCTTCATCTTCAAATAAAATCTTTCCTCTACTTCGCTATTTGTATATTTACTCACTCACCCTATCATATATTTTATAACAACTTTTGTGTTATACACATTGTTCTGATCATAAAATGGTTTCTAGAGGCCCCAATTAGTTGTGATCATAAAATGGGAAATCAAATTCGAAATCATTTCGAAGTAGGTATGTACCTAAATGTTATCTTTGCGAAGATCGAATTTATTGAGATATAACAGGGTTCAATTGAAGACAAAAAATATATAGAATGTGATTTCATAGCTCGTTTTGTGAATAAAAAGTTCATACATGAACATATGCTTTGAACCTCTTAACTTTCGACAATAGGTCGCGTGCACGATGACCCTGGAGGCAAAATATTGAAACACAACCTCATTCTTCTGTAAATTATTGAAACACAACCTGACTTTTTCATAAGGTTACAGAGGAATCAAAGGATTAAAATAGTTTTTCACAATATTATGGCATGCGAATCGTGTTTTTTGCGCTATTCATTAATTCAAGCATGCCTTCGCATTGTGCTGTTGTACAATGTACAAAAAATGCAGCAAGAGACTAAGGAATATGATTTTTCAGGTAAATAGTAATCTGACATAGTTATCATTATGAAATGTTGTCATTCCTTATCAAAATTCCTTCTGCCTTCTGCCACTTCTGCAATACGAGCTGATACTGCTAATAGATTGAAAATGTCTACAACACACACGATCGTCAGCATGTCAGACCAGTCCTCCCGATTGATTGCATGATTTTAGAAATTTCAGGTGTATTTCTATTAGCTCCTATCGCAGAAGGAATTCCGATGAGAAATCAGAAAAATTACCAAATTTGCAAATTTCAAAAATGAAAACTATATATGAGTGGCTATAGTAGGTACTTACTTTTAAATCATAATTTACCAACCGAAATACTCCGTCTTCCGCTGCAGTTTTTTTGCATTTCACAACAGCATAATATGATGGCATAAGCGAATTGATGAATAGCGGAAAAATACGATTCGTATGCCAAAATAATTGTGAAAAATTCGATCACTTGTAAACAAATAAGAAAAGTGAGGTTGTGTTTCAATGTTGTGCCTCCAGCGTCGGTCATCTGGCGGTTCTTGCACGCAACCCATAGGGTATTAAAATTTTAAGAAACGATTCGTTGTCTCATCATAATCTAACTACTGTTCTAGATATTTCCACGAAATTTGTCATGTACCTATAGTAAGCACCAATAAGCATTTTTTGATGTTGAAGATTTTTTATATTTCGATCAGAGACGTCTGTATGGGATGTATTACATTGGAGATTTTTCGCCCTTGTTTTTTTTCGAAAATGAAAATCATTTCTGAAATTCTCATTCATTTTGGAGAAAGAGCAGTGGTGCATACATGTTTCCGAACCATATGATTTTTTCTCACCTCAATGGGCACTAAATTGAAGTTAGACAGAAATAAACTGAAACACTCTGTATATTATTATGATATGCATATATCATGATATGAAAACGTTTTTTTTTTCAGAAGTACTCCTCTATTTGGTAGGAAATCGAATACTAATTTAACATTATAGAGAAATAACGTCTTCCGGAAAGATATAGTAGTTCTAGGTCTCTACTATTTACACACACTTGTGAAGAAGATTCGTTCGAATCAATGAATGACGAATGATTACACCCACTACAAAATGATTGTTTTATTGCTACATCAAAAATATACCAAAGATGGGAAGATTTGTATTTCGTGCAAAATAATTCATTCAATATTTGTAGGAGAGCGCTTTCGACTGTTGAGTCATCATCAGTGCTAACCTGTTAGTAAGTAATCTGCTTTTAGCTATTCGAAAGAAATCGGAATTGAAAATTAAAAAAAAAAAAATTAAACTTTTGAAAATTTTTTTTTGGAAATTTGCTTAATATTGAAAAAGTGAAATTTGAAAAATAAATTGGTGACTTGTTACTTTTTGATGAACTTTTGATTTGAAAAAGACATTAAGTATATAAAATCGAAATTTGAAAGTGTTGAATATGAATTTGGAAAATGATAAAAGTTACTCGTCAGGTTAACAGGAAAATTCGTCCACAAAAATATCTCTAGTCCAGTTTAAAAAAAAAAACGACATTAAGGTAAAATA